CCGGAGAACCCGGAGAGAACCCACGTTGCACGCCAAGAACATGCAAACTCCATGCAGAAAGATTCCGGTGCCCCCAAACGCGAACCGGCAACCTTCTTGTTGCGAGGCAACAGTGCTACCAACTGCGCCACCCTGCAGCCCCCTGAGATATTGTAGTTAAAATTTAATTATGCAAGAAAATGTAGTAAAAGTGAGTCGATGCGCAACTCTCATTTAATTATCTCAGAAAGCAGTTGATTTATCAAGCTAAGAAAAAATGAGAAAAAATATATATTCTATGCTATAAATATTTCAGATAAATTAGAGAGATGGTCGAGTTGAAATTGCTCTAAAAATCTGATTAACATTTAAGCTTGTAATTAGGCAACCACTACTAGTACTGACAGGAACAAGGCAAGAAATATTTGAAATGTATATATGTTTATTGTTAATTATTGTGTAGCACATAAAGGTAAATACATCTTCCAGTAAACCCACAATGTGCACCCTAGCATACTGAGTGCATTCATGTCCCTCCTATTGTGATAACTTTTGATATCTATCAATAAAAAGGTAAATGTTGTGAGAAGATTTTTGGTCATTTTAGGCCTCGTGCTGTAAAAATGTTATTTCTAGCCAACAGCAGCTGGAGAACCTGAGCAAAGAGAAGGTCGTCTGGGACTGTGAGGTGTGTCTCCGCAAACCTCTAATTGTCCCAACAGTTGCTGAAAGTAACCAATAATTCAACACACTGCTGCAGGTGTAACACACACACACACACACACACAGAGTCAATTACAAAGCAGCTGTGACCCGGAGCTGCAGGATCACAGCGACACTGACTAATGTTTCCTCGGCTGCTGTTGTCATTGTGACGGCCGAGTCGCCTTGACAAGAAGCTGGCCGACGTCCAGAAGCACCACGGACACAAATACATCTGCATACAGTCGACCGGGAAGGCGGAGCTCCGCAGAATATATATATATATACACATCGTTTACTGCTTCATTTAATCAATCCAGGAGGCGACCTCTATCGATGTTAAAGCCAAGCGTTCGGGAAGACTGCCGCCTCTGATCACTTGTCAATAATGGGAAAGTACAAATCAATAGAAAGCGCACACAGCAACAACAGAGAACACCGAGTCCGCCTGCTGTTTGTGCTGAAATACATCACAAACGGAAAGAATCAAAGGCTTCTCAGGGAGGCTGGGGTGGGTTTTTATTTGCATAATTTAGGATTTAAAGTTCCCTTTTTGATAAAGTAAAAGACTGGCACCCCTTAGATATGCTGCTGTAGGTCTAAACTGCTGGGGGGGGATTTCCCATGATGCACTGCGCACCTTTCCTCTCATTTTTTTTTCTCCATGAGATTCAAAATGTGCTTTTATTTGTCACATGCTCATATAGTCTGAGCATACAGGCTGTGCAATAACACTAAGATCATATAAAAAGAACAATTCTTTAAAAACAATAGAAAATTAGAAAAAAAGTCACAATGTCAGAAACAGATTCTAATGCAAAGGTGCCACCAGTGCTTGTCATTGGCTCATTTTCGGCAAATAGTTCCTGAATTTTTGTCATGTGACTGTTGGTCGCAGCTGAATTACTAATGGCTTCATGGTTACTCAGAGGTGCGCAGAATTTTTTTTTATTTTACAGAATCTGGTGCAAATGATTTATTATTGTTGAATTTTTAAAATTCAAATATGGAATTTCAGCAATATCACAATTTTAAGCTCAGACTAGGTTAGGTGTTCCAATGGAAGAGAGCAGTAAAGGCAAATAGTTCACCAAAATAACAACAATAGAAAAAGTTGCTCAAAAGAAACAGTTAAAAGAATAACTTGGTAGTGGCATCTCCATATATTGTATAGTCTACTGAAGGGGGGAAAAAAACTTCCCCCAAAGCTGATTTTGTTTTCTTTTTCAGTTCCTCGCTGTTTTTTTGTTTTTTAAAGGATTATGAAATAGAATAGTAAAATTAACCAGGGAGACATAAACTTACTACCTGTTTTTTACTTCTTTATAAAAACCAAACATAAATGAGATTTCTTTATCCAATTTGCATTTTAATTTATTTTTCATTAAACGCACATTTTTTTATTGTCAAAATATTCTCCAAGTTTTGTTTTTGTTGACTTTTAATTGTCTTTTTTTTTTTTTTTAAACAAAAAGTAAAAAGTCCAATAATTCTTTTTGTTTTTACAGTTTGTGGCTGATGGATGATTTGGGCTTTTTTTTCTTTTTTTCCTTCCTTTCTTTTTTTTTTTTAATACATACCATACTTTTCTTTCTGAACACATTTAACTTCATACATTTGATTTCTGGTTTGGTTTTCTGATGGAACCATACAGAACAAATGAGTTGTTCAAGGACCATAGCAATTCTGAAAACCTGACAAATCTTTGTGTTTTAAGAATGATTTAATTTCACGAACAACATTTCATTTTTACATGTACTATTAATTTACTTCTTTAGTATCATTGCCAGTGTTACTTCTACTTATTCTAGCTTACCTATTTCAGTTTTAGTGATGCATCCTACTCATACTTTATTGCTTGTCTGCGAGGTATTGCACTTATTCTCATGTTTCTGAGCAATGTCTGACACAAGAATTTTCTTTGGGATAGCTATGCTCGTAGTTCGTTCTTATCTTATTTTAATTTATCTCTACAGTCTCTAGCTATGATAAACTTTGGTGATTCATTAAAACTAACAAGCCTTTTTTGGGGGAGTTCAGATGTTCCAGTACAGGATCGAAATCATTCTTCCATCAGTGTTTATACAGTGCAGTTCATGTCTAAGTTATGCCAAAAATGTACACAAATTTTCTCTTACAGTGGACGTACAGTTATGATATCTTTCATTTTGCATTGAGGCTCCATATGAGCCTTCACCTTACTTTTTTTTATCCAATTCAATCCAATTTTATTTATAAAGCACTTTAAAACTCAAGACAGAGTGCTGTACAGGGAGCAAATATAAAGCAAGTGCGTAATGATAAACTAAACCTTCGAAATATAATTCCTGAGCGATTTTCGGGTCAAAAATGTGTTTCTTTAGATAGAAATAAAACCTTTCACTGCGTCCTTGGTGTGTATTCGCTCTAAATGTGCCAACTGTGCATTAGCTGGAAACATTGAACATGTGTGTGGGAGTGTTTCTCTCCCTTTTCCTCTCGTTTTTTTTGTACATATATGAAGCAGATTCATGAAGCCCCGGGACATTTTTCACTCCCCTCTTTTAAGTGTCTTTAAAGCACTCCATGGCCTTGCAGCAGCCCACTTCTCTGGCAGCCTTCCAGCCTCTCAGGTCCGTTTTTAGCTGTTGCTGGACAAAAAAACTTTTGGGCGAAGCAGCTTTTAGTTTTTAAACTCCTCTGCCTGAGGGTCTGAGAGCAGTGAAGGTGTTGATGTGGTTCACAGTGTGATATGAGCCCAAAGCAGTTTCTGGGTGTTTTACTTGCTCCTGTCACAGTTTTACTCACTGTGGGCTCATTTTTCTCTGCAATATAAAGTCCTGCACCTCTATGGAAACAGCACAACTATGGCTCTTTGTAGAACATAACACATGATTCACACACAATCATAAAAAAAGAAAAAGGATATCTTTGATTTTTTTTTTTTTTTTTTTTCCCACAGGTGTTATTAATACTGGAGGGAAAAAAGAATGAATCAGCATATTACAGACATTTTTCTCTGTATATTTTTAGTCTGCACTGCCTGCAGTTCAGCTGAAAAGTCTCTGGTCACATGACTGTTGGTTGCAGTCGAGTCATTCAAGACTTCACAGTTGCACCAGTAAGTGAAGAGATTTTAGTTCTTTTTACAGAATCTGGATAATACACATTGTTTATTTTGGAGATTTTTCAAATTAGACATGTAGAATAACTTGATTTTGAGAAGTTATTACAATTCCAAGCCTAGATTTGGTTATACAAATAGACGATTCTTTCGGTTTTTACATTTTCTGACTCTGGTGAACAGTTTTTTTTATTAACAACATGCTCTTCAAATCCACCGGCAGGTTTGAGGGTTCATAGCAACAAACCCAAACATTTTTCAGCAAGGATTTAGATTATAATGTTTTTACTGTCATTTTTTTTATTTAAATAATTATTTTCAATCCCACATGTCATTTATCAAGTTTTACTTTATATTTTAAAAATATTCTATTACATTTTTTTTGTTTTTTTTAAAATTACTATTATTTACTTTATTACTATTTTTTATTTTGCGTTTCACTGTTTGCATCTGGGGCTGCAAGGTGGTGCAGTTGGTAGCACTGTTGCCTCGCAGCAAGAAGGTTCGCACCCTGGTGGGGGCACCAGGACTGAGTTTGCATGTTCTCCCCGTGCAGCGTGGGTTCTCCGGCTTCCTCCCACAAGTCCAAGAAACATGTTGAGGTTAATTGGTGATTCTAAATTGTCCATAGGTGTGAATGTGAGTGTGCTTGGTTGTCTGTCTCTAAGTGTAGCCCTGTGATAGACTGATGACCTGTCCAGGGTGTCCCCTGCCTTCACCCTGAGTCAGCTGGGATAGACTCCAGCCCCCCATGACCCTAGTGAGGATTAAGCGGTGTATAGATAATGGATGGATGTGTGTTTGCATCTGAATATTCAAATTATTGTCAGCTTGTCAGTGAGCTGTAAGGCACATAATAACCAGCACAAAATGGCCTTGATTACAATTCAAAACATTTCCAAAAAAACAAGATAATGACATGTCAAACTGAGGAATTCACCAAACTAATCATGATGCATTTTACACCGACATGAAAGCCAAAAATAAGATTGAAGACAGCTATTTAAACCCTCCTGTCAGCAGCCAGTCATCAGATGCTGCCACACAAACGCTGAGGCTAATATCAACCAGGAAGAACCAACCTTCAACTCGCCTGATCGACAGCTTTTAATTTCTGCCCCAAAGTCCAAAGACTTAATTGCAAAAAACCATAAAGTATTTCTAAAGTGTGATTGATCGATATGCGCCAACACACACGAACACGTCTCCATCCTACCTCGGCTGTTGGTCGCCAGATCGGCCACTTTCTGAAAGGCATCCAGGAAGGCTGCTACCGCGACAACCGTCGTCCTGCAAGACACAACAGAGGAAACCTTTGTTAGAGAAGAAGTACTGTTAAAAACCATACAGTACAAATCTGTTTCTCCCTGTTATTTTTCTAGTTTTGCTGCTGCTGACTGGTTGTTGGATGGTGTGTTGAATATCACACAACTGACCTTTTTTATGTTTATTTTTTAAAATTTTTTTAATGATACAGTTTTGTTTTGTTTTATTTCCAATCTGTCAATAGTTGTCACCAACACCGGAAAAAATAGTGACTCAACACAATATAGATATTTTACAGCTTACATTTTGAATTAGTTTCCTCACTTCTCTCCTCTCTGCTCTTTGCAAAGACAGCCTGCAGTTCAATCCAGTTCATCCAAAAAGCTCTCTGAATTTTTGTCATGTCATTGTCAGTCACAGCTACATCACTAAGAGCTTCACAGCTACAGTGAGGAAGGCAGAATTTTTTGATTTTCACCAGATCTTATTAGTTAAAACGTTTTATTTTTGGCAAGTTTTTGAATGATATCTATCAAATGTGATTCTAAGGAGATACCACCATTTTCAGAGATTAGATTTGGTGAAGTTTCCAATTGAACAGCATGTCACAGATGAAAAATCTAATAATTCTTTATGCTTTTTGCAGTTTCTAGGTGATTTTGGTGATTTGTTTAAAGATAAAAATGCACTTGAGACTTGGAGTTGAGCATGGTAATATCTCACTGAACACATTTCATCTCATGTTAAATTTCTGTTTTCTGTAAGCTATATATTTCAAGTTTAAGGTCTCTGAAAGTTGTGTTTTATTTTGTTTTTCATGTCGTACTAGATTGAAATCAGCAGTTAGTTTCAGGAAAAGAATTTGAAAATGTGTCTGATCGTCTATGAAACTAAAATCGCTGCTGTGGTCCTTTAATCCAAAACACATAAACGGTGCCTAAAACACCCAGAAACACCCAGACGGAGCCGCAGAGCGAACTGAGGTTGAGGCAGAGGAGGAAGTGGTGTTTGTAATCAGCTCTGACCTCTGCTGACCTCCGGCCCGGTGCAGCGTCTCTGGAGGCTGCTGCTGATCCGTCTCCCTGATAATGACTTTATGGTGGCATCATTAATCTCTGCCAGCCACAGAAGGTTAATTGAGTTGTGCGTGTGTGTGTGTGTGTGTGTGTGTGTGTTTGTGCACACAGAGCGTATGTGGGCAGTTAATGGCTGGAAGGTGTCAGTAGATGTGTGTCGCCGGTGATGCAGACAGGTTTAAGTGTAGGTTGTGTGTGTGTGTGTTTCCGTGCCGTGTGTGTTCGGAATCGGTGAACCGGAGCGACGAGGACGAAGCGACACAACGGAGAGGCGAGTCTGACATTTAAACACTTAATGAAGCAGACTGATTGGATTTTCATGAGCTCCGATTATATACACGCTCTCAACATGTGAGTATTTGTGTTTGACCTGTGTGCGCACGTTTGCCTTCAAAGTGTTGCGACAGCAGCTAATGACAGTGTTTGAATGTAACCTTCACGAGAGGATGCTGCAACAACTGCTGCAGAAAAATGTAAAAGCAGCACCTATAGCTTTATACAATGTGAAAAAGGTGAAATTTTATGGCGTTTTTCCTTCTTATTTTTTTTTTCTGTAATTTTAAAATTCAAGACAAAAATAGGCTGTAAAAAAAAAAAAAGACATTTCTGACCAAAAATCTGTAGCTGTGAATATCGACAAAACCTAAATATTTTGCTTTTTTACTTTTTAGTTAACAGTTGTTAAATTTACGTTTAATACTGTTAATATATTTCTGAAATTAGACACAATTAGTGACAATGAACAAAGACACGATCACTGGTTCTGTAATCTGGGACAGATTTGTTTGTTAATCAGGAAATATTTCATAACGCCAAAAGTTTTCACAACAAAAATGCTAAATGAATGTGTTTTCATCCGCGTGTAATACGTATAAGTATTGCTGTTTCCATGGAAACGATAACAAACAGAGCCATAAAGGATTCCTGTATACAGAAAAGATAGTTAATGTACCCATAAATGTACAGAAACTCTTTATATTTGATTATTAGAGTTGCAACAATAAGTTAAACAGTTGTCAATTATGAACGTAATTGTCAGCTATTTTTAAAAAAAAATCAATTTCAGTAACTTTTTCAAAGACAAAAAGCCTAAATTCTCTGATTCCGGCTTCTTTAATGTGACTATTTTCTGGTGTATGACAGTAAACTGAACATCTCTGGGTTGTGGACAAAACGAGACGTTTGTCATCTTTGGACATCTTTTACGAGTTTTTGACATTTTATAGACCAAACAACTAATCAATTAATTGACAGAATAATCAACACGTGCAGTCCTGGGATGTATATTTGCAATTCAGTAACATCAGTCTAACTTTTTCAGATTTGGTGCAGTCATTAGACACTTGGAGCAGAAATGACTCAGGTCTATACTCCAGCTACCTGAGCCACACCGCAGAATAACATCCAGTCTACCGCGCTGCATGTGTGTCTATATGTGTGTTGTTGTGTTACCTAAGTTGTGACTGCAGTTTGCTGGCCTTGCTGATGAAGTCGTCCCAGACAGGGTAACTGCCCTGAAAAAGAAAAAAAAAAAAGAGGACAAAAAATGATGAAATTCAGATGCAAACAGCATTTTCCTGCAATAATCAATCAACCACAGACAGCATTAAAATGTGGGTTTGGATGCGGTTTAATTTTACATTTTTTACAAACGTTGCTGGGACCGGAGAAGCTGCACTCAATGCGGATTGATCTGCCTTTATTAAGGTCAGTGTTGGTGCTGACGAAAATCCAATGTATCAGGTCAGTGTGTCGCGAGGAAATACATGAACAGCATCTTCCATCACACTTCACACTTGTTTCTCATCATACGGTCATCCTTCACAGAACAGACACTCAGATTTGGAGCTTTGCATTTCTGTTCAGAGGCTAAATATATATACATAGAAAGTTTGCTGTGCACGACTCCTCCGGCTCAAAGCACATAAATCCTAAGCATCAGACGCAGCATTTATACAGACAACGAGGAGACAGATCAATACTGCTGATCCATACGCCTCCACACGCCCCTGCCCGTCTAGGGGAAGCCGATCAAGCGCTCCCCCCCACCCCCAGGCATGCAAATCTAGCACAGCGGTCCACTGACTGGGTTTAATACGAGACGAGGACCGAGGAGCCGAACGCTGCAGCGCTGCGGTAATGCTGGATGCTCAGAAAGTAGGGAAACGCTGCAGCCAAACACGCAGACACAAGAAAAGTAGGGTACGCTTCTAATGTCAGCAGGAGTCCCCTGATGTTTGCAGAGTGGGTGGGGCAGGGTTTTTTTGTTTTTACTGCAGCAGAAGAGCAGAATAGGAGACAGCAGTCTAGACAGAGAATTCCGGATGTACTTTTGTGTTTTCTGCATGAAACATATGTTGGTCACCTGGTTTTATAAAGATAACTTTCATTTCATATAAGGGATCCTTGAGTACAACCAGTAAAACAGCCTTTTGCATTTGTGCACAACCTGAATTTAATGTTCCCAAAATAAAACTGCTTTGGCTCCTGAACCATCATGATTCCAGCATCCTCCAAACTCTTTGAATTCTATTAGTGTCAGAAGTAACACTTAACCAGTATCACGTGCTATGAGTTCCCATGCTTTGAGTGATGAATGAATCATCACAAACTCATAAAAAGGACAGATTTAGATGTTTACAAGTGTATTTTTTATGCAATATCCACATGCATACTGTAAGAGAGTTGGTGGTTGCGGTTATAAATCCTCTTGTTCATTCTGGGTGTGAAGGAACTCCCTTGCAATGCAACAGTGAAGAACTGAATCCATGCTGGGTGCAAATTTGCATTCTGTAATTCAGCCAAAGCTGATAACGAGGCCACAACAGTCCTAATATATTAATTGATTAGAATTATTGATGCATTAATGTGTGCATCATTTCACCACTGCAGATAATTTTAATTACTTCGTACAGTACTGCTGGGTAGTTTGTAAACTTCCTGCAGGAATCATTTAACCTAAATTTGATTTTGTAGCAATACATTAGCATTTAATTATGTTTTGGCTATTGGTGTTACAAGTACTGGGGGAAAAAAATGGAAAAATAGATAAAAATAGATATTTTACTACTTAGATTTTAAATTTGTTTGCATGCTTCATAGCGGCCAGTTCTTTTTTTACATGATCTGGTGTGAACAAATGGTGAATTTTTGATGAATTCTTCAATAATTCTAACATAGAATGAAGTGATTTAAATGAAATATCACAATCTTAAACTTAGATTGGGTTTTTTTTCCTAATGGAACTTAATGTCATGGAAGAGTAGTTAAAAATATATATATATATGAAAAAAAGCTGAAAGAACCAAAAAAAAAAAAAAAAAAAAACCTAAAAAATAACAATTGGACAATTTTGTATTTTTTTTAAACAGTATCTGTCTTTAATAAATGGTGTAATTTGGGGCAATTTTTGTCTTTTTTTTGTTTGTTTTAGAAAACAACATGGCTTCAAACTGGGTTTTGGAGTTCAGCTGAATAAATGCAGTTTTTCTCTTCATTTTGGGCTTCATGGTTGCATTAAGGAGTGCAGAAATATTAGCTTTTTTACATAATCTGGTTCAAACAAGGGCTGCAAGGTGGCGCAGTTGGTAGCACCATTGCCTTGCAGCAAGAAGGTTGCTAGTGATAGACTGGTGACCTGTCCAGGGTGTCCCCTAAATCAGCTGAGATAGACTCCACCACCCACGCGACCCTAGTGAGGATTAAGTGGTGTATAGATAATGGATGGATGGATGATTCAAACAAATGGTAAAGTTTTGATTAATTCTTAAATGAGACATGTAGAATAAAGCAATTTTGATGAACTCTCACAATTTTAGGCTTAGATTTTGTCGATGGAAGGGCACGTCATAGATTAGCAGTGCAAAGACGGTTTGGAAAGTTGAAAATCCAATAATTTCTTTTCAGTTTTTACAGTTTATGGGTGATAAATGATGGCACTTTGGCGATTTTTTGGGGAAAAAAACATCCCTTTTGAACCCAGTGACAGGCTTTGAGCTTCAGAGGGTTAAAATGAATCAGCAAATGAACGAAAGTTACCACATGAATGTAATGCTGCAGAACTATAGGTAGAAAATAGGGTTAAAATGTGCTGTTGAAGCCTCATATCAGCTTTAACTCATTTTAACGACGCAGCAAAGGACAGAAAAGATTTAGATTTTGTCCCTTATTTCTTACTGTTTTCACAGCCAGAGTAGTACATATCATACATACACGAGTACTGTATTTTGAATCAATGTGAACCAGATCGTGCCAGATTTCCTCTCAGTGTTCCTGCAGAAAGCTGTCGGGCTTCACTCCTTCGCTGCACTTTGTGGGCGTTGCCTCCCTTTCCTTTTTTTCCCCCTCTCCCCTTCAGCGCCGCTGCTCTGTAACGTTGCAGCTGAATCTGGGTGTGTTCAGCCTTCCTCTGTTTGTAAGAGTGATGCCCAGCGTCATCGCCTGGCTACCGTTGCCATGGTAACGCTGCTGCTGCTGCTGCTGCGGCGGCTGCAGAGGGGCTTCACACAGAGAAGGATTTGTGGGGAGGGGAGGATCACACGTGCACGCATCCTCGCCCAAACACACAAATCATGTTTCTGTGGCACACATTTGCTTTCTTTGTTGCTTTCATATTCAACACCCGGGTGTTTTTCCCCTTTTTCTCTGTCTCTCACACACACAAACCATATTTCCATTTCTTCTTGCAGCTCTTTTCTGCTCATTCATCATCTCCTCTCTGTTACACTGTACATATATAGACCCACATCTCATTACATCCTCCCTTCCTTCCTTCCTTCCTTCCTCCCTCCCTCTCCATCGGACAAACCGAGGCGAGGGCAGGGTCGCTGCATCTATCAGTCACTGAGGACATAAATTGTCACCGTGGCAACAACCGGAGGCGGCAGCAGCAGCAGCAGCAGCAGCCTGCTGGTCCTTCAGGAATCCACCGTTTTGTTTGTTTGGCTCTCTGAGCGACTGCACAGGCTTCAACCAACAAAAATGTGTTAATTTTGCTATCGCTGCCTTTGTGTAATTATGGCTCAAATCTGTTTTTAAACTTAAGGTGTTAAAAGCAATACAGTGCATTCCATTTTTATTATTATTATTATTATTAGATGTTTTAGGCTTAAACATTGATGTTTATCTTTTCTAGAAAGATCCACAGCTGGACTAGAACAGAGGGCAAGACACCGGGTTGTGGATTTGTCAGTGGAGGAGTATAAGGCTGGTAGAAGATCAAGTAAAAAAGGCATGAGGTTAGTTCAGCTAATGGGAGGGATTTGACTCAACCATCTGAACAACAAATCCCACCGACAGGTTTGGAAGGCATGTTGCCTTTAACAAATTGCCAACATTATACCATTTATTAGCCAGCTGGGATAGGCTCCAGCCCCCCGCGACCCTAGTGAGGATTAAGCGGTATATAGATAATGGATGGATGTATGGATGGATGGAAAAACAAAGAGAATCATCGAATTTTGGACTAGCTGATTATGAACTACTCATCTGAGCTGAGCAGTTTAGTCACAAAAATTTGCCAAATTTAAGCTTAAAATTGTTATATTTCATCAAAAAATGCTTAAATCTACATGCCTCATTTAAAAATTCACCTGAAAAACACTTGCTCTAACCAGATTCTGCGCTTCTTGGTGCAACCAGGAAGTCACAACGGACTCGTCAACAGTCATGTGACAAAACTTCAAGGACTTTTCAGCTGAATTTGCTTGAACTTCAGGCGGTGTACACACAGAGCAGAGAGGAGACGAATTAAAATGCAAGTCATAAATTATCTATAGTATGCAGGACCACCATTTTTTCTTCAATAGTGGTAACACATGTGCACTTGGAAAAATGTTATACATGCTGATTCCATTTTTTTAGGTAAAATAAATCAAAGAAACTCCTCCTTTGTTTTTTAAATTTTATGATTAATGTCATAATAACTGGATCATATTGCACAGAAGACATTTTGAGTTCTCTCTACTTCTAGTCATGGTTGTGCTGTTTCCATAGAGGTGCAGGACTTAAGATTGCAGGGGGGGAAAAAAAAGAGGCCACAGTGAGAAAAAATGTGAAAAGACCTTGCAGTTCAGCGGGTTAAGAAGGCTGCTGCACTTTTAATTAGTTTAGTGGTTTGGGAACAATTGACAGATCGTCGGTAGATCAGCATCCCACTTCAGTAACAACTTTTCAACCCCAAAACTTGTCATCAGATAATAAAAACATGAGAGTAGCAACAAAGCACAGAGCAGGAATAGATTCACAGCAGCCGACCGCTCTACAAAGCGACTAAACAAAAGTGACCCATTTGGCCCGAGCACCAAAGTCAATGCTGCAGCTCCGGCCGTGAGGTTTCCATGACGATCCATTTCAGCAGCAGCCTCCCCAAAAAGAGAGCAGGATTATTTTAGCCCAGAGGTGATTAAGATAAATGGTAATTAGCATTCAGCTAATGCGCTCAGTGCCATTACTTTAAAACTAGACACGCACAGAGTCACAGCGAAGCCTTGAACTGTGGATGTTTGGCGGAAAC